CCAAGCATCCTAATTCCTTTCTTTCTGTGAAAGCAGACAAAAGCAGCACAGACCACTCTGATGCCCTGAATGACTTAGCAGACGAAATATACGCAAAAATCAACTAGTCTATCCTTTAAACACACTCTTGAAGGACAGATGAATTTAAAATCACAAGAAAAATGGGGCGACTAAAAGACAAGCAGCTTGCCCAGAAATGCATTCAGAGGATGTTAGGGCAAAGATACAAGTAGTGGATTTCTTTACATGGCACAGAATATATGATAAAAACAAAAGGAAGGATTATGATTTACATGAAATTTTTATTAATAAAATGAGAGAATTATTCCAAAGTATATGTTTGTACCTCTTAATTGACAAAACACCAGAGCTTTATACACAATGCTTTTATTTACTCAAGTCTAGCCTGAAGACTTCACTGGACCTTCAATCATTGCTCTAATAAAGGCTCATTATGCATTAAATACAGCTTCATCTAGCTTGAAGTTGAGCAAAAAAATGCTTTTTTTAATTAACTTCTTAAATGGTATGAATTATCTTTCATTTAAACTCTGAGCTGATCCTTAGAGATTTCAATGTACCATCATTAAAATTTGTAGATAAAGCTATTTTATTTCAGATCCAGTAGTTTTGACATACATCCCCAGAGGCCTGATTTAAAATGCATCAATGTCCTCATTCTTTCTCAAATTACCTGAGACGCTTAGCAGACCACAACAACTTTTCAACTCTTACAAATACATATACAACATACAAATAAATTAAATCAACACAAATCCTCTTCTGACTTCTAGAACCTTGCTTTAAAATCATCATATTGTTCTCATTGCCTGGCCTTGGCTTTCCTACCCTGGGTTCTCAACCCTTTCTAAACTAAAACTATAACACTGCATTGACAATGAGCCATGAAAGTAGGATCATTTGAAATTAATTGTGCATTTCCACAGGTTATAGAATTATATAATCATAGAAAGGTTAGGGTTGGAAGGGACCTTAAAAATCATCTGGTTCCAACAAGCCTGCCATGGGCAGGGACACCTACCACTAGACCAGGTTGCTCAATGCCCCATCCAACCTGGCCTTGAACACTGCCAGGGATGAGGCAGCCACAACTTCTCTGGGCAACCGGCTCCAGGGCTTCACCTAATATCTAATCTAAATCTACCCTCTTTCAGCTTAAAACCATTCCCCCTTGTCCTATCACTACCTATGCTTCAAAAGCCCCTCTCCAGCTTTATTGCTGGCCCCTTTAAACACTGGAAGCTGCTCTAAGGTCTCCCCTGAGCCTTCTCCTTTCTGCATTGAACAAGCCCAGCTCTCTGGGCCTGTCTTTATAGAAGAGGTGCTCCTGCCCTCAGAGCATCTTCGTGACCCTCTTCTGGACATGCTCCAAGTGTTCCATGTCCTTCTTATGTTCGGGGCCCCAGAGCTGGATGCAGGACTGCAAAAGAGGGGGGTCTCAGGAGACCTGCTGGTCATGCTGCTGGTGATGCAGCCCAGGATATGGCTGGCTTTTGGGCTGCCAGTGCACTCTGCTGCGTCATGGGAAGCTTTATGTCAATGAACTCCCCCCCCACCCCCAAGTACTTCTCCCCGGGGCTGCTCTCAATCCAGTCTCCACTGAGCCTGTGTTTGTGCTTGAGATTGCCCCAGCCCGGGTGCAGGACCTTGCATCTGAGGTCCAGTTTCAGACAGTTGTTTAACCTTTAAGATTACTTTTAAGAAAATCATTGTCTTTGCGTATTTTCCAGTGAACAAATGGCATAATAAGTCTTCTCTCTTCAAACGTTTCTCTCCCAATTTTGAATCACGTCATAGGGTCTGGATCAGAAATGAACACTCTCAGCTGCTGTGAAAAATGTTAGTCACAGAAATATCTTAAAATAAGCAGTGCTCAGCTTGGCAAAGGGTATATGTTTTCTTTTTGCAAGGAATAAAAACTCAATTTATTTTACTGTTTCAGGATTACTTAGCTGTCATAAAATCTTACATTCCACTCACTATGCTGAGAGTCTTTGCCTTCACCAGACTCAGACTTTCATCATCTATGCTTATAGTGACCTAGACCCCACCCAGCAGATGAAATAGTTAAACTACAGTATAAAACAACTTCTGCCATAGCTTGGGAAGTTCACTTTCATTCCTTCGGATCAAATTCTGCTATTGCTTATTTGGCAAAACATTTTATATCTCAGAATCCCTCTTTCAGCAAGCCTAAGCAAAGGAATTCTACAGCATTACATTATAATACAGCTAATACTATATTTTGAAGAGGGATTTTCACTGCATTTTCACTGCATCAAGGTTATCTTGTTCATTAGGGCTTGTGAGACTTTCAGTCAGCATTCCCATTTCTACATGACTTGCGAAAACTTCAGGATTCATGCTTGCCACCTAGTGGCTTTCAACAGAATTAGAGGCGATCAGTTAAAGGGCTTTTTGCGCTAGAAGACAGTTGCTCCAATCTATGGTTAAGTTTGAAAATAAAAAAAAATTGTTCTGGAATTGTACGTGGGAAAGATGCTTATTCCCTCCATATAACCATTAACTGAACACAAATAGAAAAGACAGGATTAATTCATGGCCACAGAATCTCCTCTGAAAAGAACAGCCATGGTTACTGCATTTGAACATGAACACCTACTTTGACTGGGAGAGGTTACTATGAGGACTCTTCATATCCAACGTGTCCTTCCATACAGCAGTCCTAGAAATTCATAAGGCAATCCAAGCAGAGCACAAGCATTCTTTGTCTGCCTTCAGTAAATAAGATTGTTACTTGTTTGCAAAAAAAAAAACCTCAACAAAACCTAAATAAGATTTCGTGGGGGCTCCTATGACCATCTTTTTCTGTTCTGCAGAAAATGTGCATACTTCAGGGTAGATGGTCGTTAAATACAAGATAGAAACAGTTCAGTCTAGAACCTGCCAAGCACCCTCTCCCAGGACTAATTCCTAGGTTGCAGAAAGGCTCCACACAATTGGAAAACAGAAATAAGCTTTTGTCACTGTGTGAGTTTTCTTTCTGGAATTGCCACCTAAAATAAATCATTTATCAGAATTACTTAACTAGGATCTTAATAAAATATTATACTATTGCCAGCCATAGCACAAATCCATGTATTCTCAAAATCGCAAATACTAAAAATGGTCTCTAAATTCTGCCAAATTCTCAGAATACCAGTGTGTCCTAGTTTTAGCAAGAAATACTTAAGAGTATCTATGAAATGTTAAGAAAAAGGCAAACTACATGGCTGGGGAAAATGACGTCATCTCAGATCAAGGAATGAAGAGGGCAGGTGTAAACAGGAAGAGCTGGTCTTCACATTTTATAGCCTTGATAAAATCAATGGGTCTACAGAAAGGCCAAACAAGCAGTGCTAGTAAAGTCTGCTTTCGAAGGAGAGTTAATTTATCGGCCCTCAATGAAACACACACAAAAACTGGCAATATGTGCAACCTCTACAGTTCTTAAAGAACTTCAAATCCAGACAAGAAAATAATTTCATGCTTTTGCATTACCATGGAAGTACTCCAATATCTATTATATGGATCAAGACAGGCACATATAATAATGTACACCTGTAATGAGTGCTTAAGTCTTTAGATGCCTTTATTTTAAAAGCCACAAATCCACTATGGCTGTATAAAATTTTGCCTCTCAGTAGACTTTCTACATCTGGCTTTTAAGGAAGTTCCTTATATGCGCCAGTATTTATAAAACAGTGATTGTGGGAAAAACAGAGAACACAACTGCAAATGACTGAATTTGGTACAATCTTCTCCCACCAGCCACCTTTCTTTATTGGGGGGGGGGGGGGGGGGATGGGTTGCGGGTGATGGATAGGGAAAAATATACATTATTCTTATTAAGGTAATGAACAGACACTTAGGCTTAACAAACAGGCTCTCTTTACACAGATGCCATAATAAAAATGTACTAGCACTTGACAAGTTCTGTGCAATTTTTTAATGCACAGTTTCTAGAGTTCATCAATAAAAGTAGGTCATGACAAAATCATCTCATGAATGTATAGTATAACATTCATTTAAAAGATACAAATAAGGAAGTAAGAAAATGGACTATCATTGAATTATTTCCAATACCAGTAGCTAGCAAGTATTAACTGGATATCATTATCTTAAATTCACTATTATCTTCATTTTAGAAAAAATAACCTTCTAATCTGGAAACTCTCCTAACATTTCATTCTTTCATCTGACTGCAGGTAAAATACTTGCAAATACAAAAGAAAAAGAAGAGTTGACAGTTTCGTAACCAATATTATATAGGGCATGTATTTTACCATGCAGAAGTTGACTCTGCTCCTTTTAGGAGCTGGATGCATACATTTCCTGGCTTTCGCACTACAAAATATTTTTCTCCACAGATTATTTGTTACTTCTATGTCATGTTTATAAAATAAAATAAAACCAGATTTCATGCATTTTAAAGAACCTTTCTTACACATTGTACTCTTCAGCAAGAAAACAGGGTCCATTCTGGTTCACGTCAGTGCATTTCACAAAGAAATGGTATTACAAAATACAATTAAGTGATATCTTGGCTCGAAACTTCTGAATCTAATGAAATTTTAAAAGTAACAGTTGATAATAAATTTCAAGATAGAAACTTGTCACTATAAAGGGTCTGGGCCATCACTGAGAACTTCAAATGCTTCCCAGTTTCATGCTTGTGATTTCAGAAGCAATAACAAACAGTTACGGCAGAAGTATCAGATCTAAAACCTGAACATTTATTGCTGTCAAAAATATAAAAAAAAAAAACAGAAGTATAAAAACTGATGCATGGATAGAAAGTTAGTGATTAAGAAACAAGGAACAGAAGTCTGCCGAATTCTAACAACTGTAAAAGATGAAAACTGACTTTTAGCAAGAATTTTGTTTTACGTACCTTTACTGGCATTTGAAATAAAGCTTTTGAAAAATATGCTGTAAAATTTCTTAATTGTTTATTAATGAAAGTTTTGAGGAGACATTCCAGGAGGTTTTTAGGGTGTTTACAAACAGATGAATAGCAGTCACACAGATTGTATTTTTCAGTGTTAACAATACAGACAACTATAAAACAGGAGAGTATCACACACTGTCTGCAAGTTTGCTTCTTTCTTCAAATTGCTTGTCTACTGCAAGTGAAAGAGCCTGAAGAAACGTTGTCATTGTAACACTGGGGGACTGAAAATAAGGGAACATCTTGTTAGACACACTACTGCAACAGGCATACATAATATTTTACACACAAATCAGTTTTTAAAAGAGAAATATTTGACTTCCATGTAACAAAATATTCAAAATGCTACAAAGCATAAAACTCTAGGTTTATTTTAAACCAGCTAACACAGCAAAGTCAAAGTCAAGCTATGCAAAGTCAATTGCTATTACTGTGGATTTGCTTCAAAAAAGGTTTTAACAAATTAATGTAATTTATAAAGTGGCAGAGGGTTTTGCTCCAGCAAGATATTATCAGAGAAACAGTATCAATGTTCTGTCACAACATTTAATTAAAAGAGAATGCTGTTGGACAGGTCAATCCCACATGTCTTCTTCAACTTTTTAAATTATGAGAAGCACAAAATTCTTCCAGTCCACAAAGCTGCAGCAACAGTGCAATTTAGCTTAAAAGGGGGGTGTAGGCCAAATCTTTTAGTTCATACAGTGTCCAAATGTCTTCCCACTTGTCCAAAACCAAACTAAAATATAATATAATAAACTTACTTGAATATAAAGTGCATGTGCTAGGAAAGGAAGTTTTCTCAGGACCCGGCCACTAAGACCTTCACTTCTTCTATAGTAAAACAGAAACAAGTACTGCTTAAATGCTAAATATCAACTCTTAAAAGAAGTGTGTTCTGTGTTTCTCACATAAGTTGCTCTAAAATACTCAAATCAAAATTCAGCAAGTCACTTTCAGCCTATGGGAGGCTATACAGTACAGAAAAGCAAGCAAGGGTACAGAAACAGCGTAGTCACATTTGCCTGCCGATGCTTACACCATGCCCTTCACGTCACTGTGCCATATCTCATTAATTTGGGGAAATGTCTACACTGAAATGGTATATAGACATACCCCGGAAGGACTTGAAAATTTTGTTTTGAAGGCTGCACCTCTCAGCTACCGATTATCTCCTTCTTCCCGCCAGTTACACACTACTCCCTTTACCTCACCTACTTAATATATAGAATCATAGAATAGTTAGGGTTGGAGAGGACCTTAAGATCATCTAGTTCCAACCCCCCTGCCATGGGCAGGGACACCTCACACTAAACCATATCACCCAAGGCCTCGTCCAACCTGGTCTTGAACACTGCCAGGGATAGAGCATTCACAACCTCCCTGGGCAACCTATTCCAGTGCCTCACCACCCTAACAGGAAAGAATTTCCTCCTTATCTCCAATCTAAACTTCCCCTGTTTAAGTTTTAACCCGTTACCACTTGTCCTGTCACTACAGTCCCTAATGAAGAGTCCCTCCCCAGCATCCCTATAGGCCCCCTTCAGATACTGGAAGGCTGCTATGAGCTCTCCACGCAGCCTTCTCCAGGCTGAACAGCCCCAACTTTCTCAGCCTATATGTTTCTGTCTCCTCCAAATACCTCTCTATGTAGAAACCAAACTCCTATGCCTGAGAAAACTTTATTGCTTTTACTCTGCTCCTTACTGGTTAAGATTACATAGAGCAGAAGGAAAACAAACTTTCCTGACTTTATCAATGTTATTTTATTTTGTACCACAGAAACCAGTACCTTGGAAAAATATATTGCTTGATATTGCAAATATAATTATTATTGTTTCAAGGATTGTGATGCTGAAGTGAAAGACTATTTTGCTCTACTAGTATACTCAGCAAATCACAACACTGTCCATTTGCACTTCACTCCTTTCACCTTTGCTTCTGTCCACTTACACCTTGATGCTAAAAACTCACTTGGTAGATTGCAGCAAAGCATTCTAAGACACTTTCTTAGCAAGAAATAAGGCCAATGCTATTTATGCTAAACTGCATTACAATTCACCATATCCACTGAAACCCAAGGCATCTTACTAATCCAGCCAGCAAAATTTGTCAAGAGGACTTCAAAGGGCACAGCGGAAACCAGAGGAATACTAAGCCAAGCTAGATCTGAGACTAAGAAATGTTGGAAAATCCTGATTACTTCTACTCTTTGTCCCCTGACAGGTTTTGCAGTAACTTTACCAGAAAAAGATGGAGATGTGTGGAGATGTTTCAGAACTCCAGCCATATTCAACTATTTTAATACATCATTCCACAACTCATATATTACAAAAAAGTAGAATTTCAGAATCTTACCTTGAGATTTCTTTTAGTACAAGGCTTAACCTTGACACATTATTTTCTACAAAGCCTATCATCTCTAGCTCTCTGAGTGTCAGGAGCTGCTGTCGAGGATATATTATTTGACACTAGAAAGAAGAATTATACAGTGTTGTATGAAAAAACTTAAATACATTCAAAATTAACTTGTACAGTAAGAGTGGAAATAAAGAGAAGAAATTAATTTTGTGCATTTTTGTTATTTAGGAAATATGATTAAAATGTCAAATGTATTTAAATAGGACATTTTAGAGTCTTGCTTTCAAAATATTACCTTCATCAGTTCTTCCAAGCAAGAAAGATAGATTCTAAATATTGCTGCAGTGGATGGAGGTCCAATGTATTGCTTTATGTCAGCCCTGTCTACAAAGGCCATGTCAATTTTCTCTGTAATATTTGAAGTAGTCAGGATGACTACATTGGGATACCTTCAAGATAAAAGCAGACTTTTAGGTCACATGTACAATAATTATCTCCTTCTCAGCCACTACTTATTACACTACTTCTGAAGCTCTGGCCAGTGATCACCAATCTATTATTTCAACTATTTCTCAAGCGCGCACAGTGTCTCAAGTATACATAGTTTTCTTTAACCCTACCTTAGAAGTGTTATACATTAACTATCTAGAGCCTACTGGCATAGTTTCTGACCCATCTCCTTGCTCAAAGAAATACTGAAAGGATATTCTTAACAGTAGCTATTTTTAGAGGAAGCCTGTGAACTTTTATGTGTAAGGAAGCCACTTACCTTTCATTAGCAACAAGACAGGGTCAAATATGTGGCACCTTTCTTTCTATGAACAGAGCCAAGCAAAAAGGGGAGGAAAGTGATACAAATAAAACTGAATATGGTAGGCTGCACTAAATCCAGCGCACAAAGCAGACCAAGCATCATTAATGATTGCTTCTAAGCCATGTGTTGTGCAAGTCTGCTTTAAATTGACATCCAGAAGCTCTAAATAATGAATGAATTCTCCACTGATCTTATTCTTCTCTCCAAGCAGATACCATGGCTATTTGGCCTGTATCACTCCCTAGCTTTAAAGGAAGCATACCATCTGATATGATTGCTCACTCAGCTACATGCAAAATATTCTGTTTGATTATTCCTATTTCTTTTCACAGTTAGCATGATTAACAAAGAATAGTTCATTAACCAATTTGGTTTAGTATTCTAAATAGGAATTAAGATTTAGCAGGAATCAAATACCTTTTCCTGTTGCAACAATGAGTTTACCTTTTAATCTGATCTATTTGTGTCAGCACAGCATTCACCACACGAATAGCATCTGAAGGCTCTGTGCCTGCCTTGAAAGCACTACGGGCTGCCGTGAGGCTTTCCACCTACAAAAAACCAAACCAACAAACAGAGAACCAAAAAACTATATTAAAAAAAAAAAAACAACAACAAAAAATTGCCCAAATTACTCCCCCACCTTCCCCTCCCCAAACCCCAAAAACAAAACATGAAGGATTGCACATTTGGACTGCTGGCAGCAAGCAAATAATCCAATGTACCTTCAGATTCTTATGTCTGGTATCTAAAACTTCACCTCCCAAATTTTTGTTAAGTAGGAATTTACAAGGAAAGAGAAAGGAATGTCAAGGAAGTAAAGTAGAGTGAGTGAAATTCCTGACTGGAGAATGGAAGCTGTTTATCATACTAATTAAATTTTGCAAGCAAAGGGGGAACAAGACACACAGAATAAGGAATATATTGAATTTAGAATTAGCTTCCCCGTAGGAACTCCAATATAACAAAGCTAATAAGGTACATATTTACTAAGGTGCTTACATATGCAAGCCAGAAGAGAATGACGATAAACTGAACCATGATAATGCTTTTTAGAGCTTTATGATATATGTAAGAGCACAGTTAATACAAACCTAGGGTACTCTGAAGTTTAAAACAATACCCGTAACATACAGCAGCAAAGGAAGTTCCATGAAGAAAGTTTTAGATTCATTTTCAGCTGGAATTTGCCTGCTAAATCACACTTTTTTCCTCACAAATCGCTGAAATCTGCACCAGTCAAACTGAAAATTCATTCGGTTGCACAAAGTTATGTAACTTACAAAAAATCATAAGTATGCTTTTATTAATCTTTAAAAGTGAGCACTCTCAGAGTTCCCTCCCATCTATTTGCTTTCTGCTAAATTTTATGTACATCAATGCTATTAGAATCATACCTCATCAATCAGTACAAATACAAGAGCATCTTTGTCATCAATTAACTCTTGAATCTTCTGGAACATCTTGGTTACAAGCTTGCCACTCTAGAAAGAAACCATATGCGTATGTTTAACTATTTCCTTATCACACAACTTTTCACGCCTTACCATATTTAAAAATTGAATTACCTGCTTTTTTTAAAGTAACTTTCCAATATAGCTTCTATTTAAGTGTTCTCAAATACATTAATTCTTCTGAGCAATCTTTGGTATGTACACTTATTTTATTAAACAAGCTCAACAAAAACAGTGTAATTTCTAAAAGTCTACTTAATTAGCTGCATCAATACATACCTCAGAAAACCATTTAGAGAAAAGGCTATGGCTGTTTATCTCAATTAACTGTCCATACCTATACCTAAAGTATGAAGGGAAAAACAAGTATCAACTGTACTGTACATAAAAGTCAGTGATATCATTAACTTCCATATATCTCACTCTCCCCATTTCAACCCTGGAATTCTGTGAATTAGTCCCTAAACTACTTACCTTTCAAAACATAATACCTGTTTCGAGTTTGTCATTTCCAGAAACGTGTCTCACTAGAATTTTTTATATTAAATTACTATCAGGATTCCTTCATTAGAACAGGTGCTATTTAAATATAGTTTAAGTAATAGTACCATGCTAATAGTCTCATTCTTCTGTTCATGTAAGGCTTTGTTCAGTATAGCAAGAACACACATAAAAGCAAGAAGCTCACTTACTTAGCTCTGCATGGATAACCTTAGAACAGAATACCTCAGCCAGCCATTATGTCGACCACGTTTATCACAAATTCAGCTTGGCCTACAGTCAGATCCACTCCAGTATTTACATATTATATTACACCTAGCATTTTATATAACTTTTAAAATATATGTGATTAACTTTGTTAAGCAGCTATGGAGTTTAAGGTTAACTTATTAATCACCTGATATACAGACTGACCTCTGCAGACTGTGGCACTCAAGACAACCCAAGTTCAAAACAAACTGGTTACAAAAATGACTACCTATTAAAAACAGGCTTTCTTGAACATGAAAATACAAATAGCAGGCTCAATAGTCTGTGATTCTTTGCCCTTTAATATTAATTGATGTACAAAGCGAGAACAAACAAATTACTATACCACCACTGGAACTTTCTTCACATACCTGGGCATAAATAGACATTTTTAAATATACTAAGCAGTCTCTATCAGAGTCAATTTTATTCATAGTTTACCTAGCTAGCAAAGAACTATGAACATTAGCATATGGCACCACTTACTTAATAGCAAGTATTAAATATCTTTGGGCTACTGCAAAAGAACAATTAACAATAGCAAACTAAGTGAATAAAATTCCAAAAACTATCACCTGTATGACAGCCGAATTGTCAGCTTTTGAGCCAATGCTTTACAAAGAGAAGTTTTCCCAGTTCCAGGAGGGCCTGGTTTGAAATCAAATCCATAAATTACACAGAATCTGCATTATACTGTTAATTACATGTAACATCATTATAACTACCTTATTTCACTACAGCAGTACCTGTAGAATAAAAACACAAAGACAACGATTGTGAACACCAGCGTAGTTTTAGAAGACTGCTTACTCAGCTGCAGTCCTAGAGCTGACCTTTGAATTCATATAATTTTCAATTATTAGTAAACTTAGTGTAATAGCTTGTATGTAGGCACCATAAAGTTAAAATACAAAACAGACACAGAAGTCAGAAGTATCACCCTAGCATGTCTTATGATTAACAGTAATCTCAAAAATCAGTGCTATGCTCATATCTTCCTGAAACATACTTTTCTAACATGCAAACCAGAAACACATCATGCCTAGTTTGACCAGCTGTCCACTTGCCTAGAAATGTCTACATTGGGGCAACACAGAATATCTTAGGAAGTATGCTGTGGGACAAACCTTTCGGGTCTGTTTTGACACACTATTGAAGAGCAACACAGACCATCTCCAAATAGACAAGTACAAGCATAGCTAAACATAGAACGAATGTATGGAAGATGATGTATGGGTGCTAAACAAATTGATAACATCAGCCAGAAGACAGTACTTTCATTCAAAACCAATACTGTCATTTTAGCATAAATGTATTTTGCACTACAGTTGAGGATTTCCCAGCATTAACTTCTTTGTGATTGCAATAATGAACTCATTACAAAAATTAAATAAATCCTAAATATATTGTTAATAGTCTGAAATAAATAACTTTCCAAACAAAAATATCCTGCAGCTTCTAAACTGATGATTATAACTTTAATATAATCAACACTGATAAAAAACATTTTCACTATGACCTTTTTATTTATGAATGCCAGTTTTGACAACAAAATTGTCAAGACTTGCTATTGATTAATCAACAGCAAGCTGCATTTTGCAAGAAAACCGATCCAGTTGATGTTACTCTCGTTTATGGTATAACCTACCCAGTAAAATAGGACTGACTGAAGATTATGGCTTCACTGAAATAGTAATAACCAAATTTGCAAGCACTGCCTACGTATCTGGCAATAGAATACAGTGTTAATAAAATAACACACAGACTGATTTCCCAGTTTCCTCAGAAGTTTTCATAGAGCCATAACTAACAAAGTTTTAATACTGCAATAGAACTGTAAGAAATATATGGCTCCTAATGCTCTCAGTAGCTGCATTACCTTTTGAACTTAAAAAAAAACAAACAGCATCACTTAAAAATAAAAACTAAGAAAAAATAAAAATCAAAACCAACTACTGTAACTGCATTGCAAATTCTAGAATCTAAATTCCTGCAAAACATAGTACATGTGAACATTAATTTCATTCTGACATTAAATTTAATCTAAATCTGTGTAAGAGAGAACACTTCTCTGCTGCTTTTGCATCATCTAAATTCACTATACAGAAGTGCAACACAAGTCTTACCAGAAAGAAAGTCTAAACAGATGGCAAATTAATCTACTTGATTTAAGACAGATAAATTTTACCGTGCAGCAAAACAACTCTGTTCCATGATATCAAGTTGCTGTCAACATTTTTGTCAGAAAATAGTAGCGTTGTCGTCACATAATCAAGTAACTAATTATAGAGGAGAAAAAGACACACACAAATTAGAGACATATTAAAAAATACAATTACAATTAAAAGCAATCTTCTAGCTACATCTACTGTATACTCAAAGACCAAAACAAAATAGGCTTACGTCATTTAGTCAAAGGTAAATTTTCTCTCACAAAGACTGGAAATTAATTTCCTTCCTGCCCTCAGAAAAAAAAAACATAGCATGTACTGGGCACAAATGGACTTCCAGAACTTTTACATGAATAAATGAAATGCTTTAAGAAAGTGAAAATATTTTCATTTTCCATTATCCCACTTCTAGTGTGTCTTTAAAACACAAACTGCCCAAGCACACTGAGTCAAAGACTCAAACTCCAGGTCATGTTTAGATGTATATTTGTTCAGTTTTTTATAGTCAACCCACCAAAGCATTTCCTGTCACATTTAAGTTCCTTTCTACCAAAGCATTTGTATCAGCTACTGTAAGGACTTTGTAGACTGGTTATCCTTTCAAATAAGGGAAGTTGCATGCACTTCCCTGAATGCTTCCTTCTCAAAATAATACTACTTCATTTTAGAATTATCTAGAATTATGAAGTAGAGAACTCTCTCAACAAAATGTATACAAATCTCAGGTGTGAATCTACACTGATTTTTTGCCTATAATAACACCTGATACCATATTATTTTATATTGCTGTTACCTGTAATATGCTTTTGATCTCTATGCCTTAGTAGGACAATAGTATTCCTGCAATATCTCATGCCCAAGATGTAGCAATTACACAACAGCAAAAAAACTGAATTCCACCCAGCATGTTTTTCAATTACTATATCAACACGAACATTTTGAAAATTCACCGCAACCACTAGTCTGTAGAACCCAACCACACCCAGCTAGCTCAATTGTTTAAGAATGAACATTCATCACAATTGCTTTTACAAAAGTTAAGTAGTTCTAATTTTAGTCATTAAAAGCCGCTTCTTCTAACTCCTTTCTACCAACATACACTGACAGTCAACAGTTATTAACTTGCTGTTATTTAGTACATCAGTAAGGCTAATTAAAGTCTTGTAATTTCACAGATGACTTGGAAAGCAGCTCCATAAATCAGACAGCTGTGGATGTACTAATTGTTGTTTACCTTATAAATGAAGTAAGTACAATCATTGTAATGTTTTGCTTTACTATAGATGGTTATAAAGACTTAAGTGAGAATACTGTATTTATGTTATTATAAACAAGCACGTGAATTACTTGTGTCCAGAAACTTCAGGTAGAAGTAATTTTTTTTAAAAAGCACAAAAAACATCTTAGTGAGTGATGTCGAAGACCAACTGAACTATGTGTGGTTTTTACATCACAATTATTGAATTTCAGATTCCAGTATTACAGTTCTATAAACTGACAGTTATCATTGCAACCTTTGATGAATGCACAGAATCTTCAAACTAGAAAATGACCCCATGAAACTGCTTTGTTTCTTCTAAATATTTTACCAGCATTTAAGTGGGAGCCAACTCACTCTAGTTAAATCATTCAACGGGGATTTGTATGAACAGTGACAGTGCTTGCTGGCTGACATTACTGCTACCAATGAACTACCTAGCTGCTGTCAGAAACACATAATTAAGCTCCTATTACCTTTTGACTAGCCTGTTACATGGCCATTTGATATAATGGTAATAACCACTTTTGTTAAATGACCATTAGCTATAGTCACAGTGGACTGATTAATGGGACAAAACCTGGTGGAAAGTAGTGCACCACACAATAAGTTGAACACTTTGAGTGATTTAGTTTCCTTGGTTAGTTTACTGCAAGGTAATCAGTGCCACACCAAAGATCTTGTGGGATCTTGTGGGACTTTCAGAATGGAGAAACAGAGAATCAATTTCAAAGAATGCTGCATAATTTTTTTCTAAGCCTCTCTGAAGTTATTTCTTTCCCCCAATTTTCTTCTTCCCTTCTAGAAAACTATGCAACTCATGAGCCTTAAAACAAGGTGCAGTATTTTAATGAAGTGAATTTCTACCCTGCTCTACAGAACATCCATAGTTTTTTTACACACAGGCTGATATGCCTAAAGCAAAAGTGAAAGAGATGTTATAAGCTGCTAGCAAAACACCTCTAGCTGTTGAATTTCTGATGTCTGTATAATAAGCCAATGCATAGGAAGAAATTGTTTATAATTTGTGGCATAAGCACCACTGAACCCAGTTTCACTGGGAAACAGATTTTTACAAAGCTGACTTCACAGTAGTACATATTGATACGTTGTAAATATGATGTTTAATCTCAAAACATCAGCTCTGACTTCTGTTAAGCGTTTTTCAAAGAAGTATGTAACTATCAAAAATTACATAAAGGTTTTTTGAGCTGATGATTCCCAAATAACTTCTTCACGGAATGCAGAAAACTTCAGACAGGCTACATTTCAACTCTTCTCAAGCAATTTTAATCGTTATTCGTTTTCAACTTACATGTGATTTTACTTCAGTTTCATAGATAAGACTTTCCCAAAGGCCATGGAATTCAGCTGCAAAAGCAATACATTATATACCTGTTTAGGATAAATCAATCTGGGAACTTGTAATATATCACTGCAGCACAAAGCAGTTTTTAAATTATTCTTAACTAAAATTAAGGATTAAGAACAAATATATGAGAGCAGTTAAAATTTTGGGGAAAAAAATGAGTTATTTTTTCTCAAAATGCAAACACTACTTTCTAACAAATTCAGGAGTTTCTGTTTCATCGAATAACTGTGAGTAAAAATTAATTTTCTTCATTTCTTAACATGAAATAAAAAACATTATTCTTTCTATCCACAATAAGGGATGGACCTACATTTCCCCAAGATACAGAGATATGAAAAGTTGGGGTGGGAGGAGGGTTCTAAGCCCAATTTTATCATTCAGGTTTTTTTTCCCTTTTTTTAACATCAACATGTAGAGGACAATAAAAAAGAAAAAAAAAATTTATTTGGGTATCAATCATTTCTAGCAGCTGGTTTCTAACTTTCAGGAAAGAATAAATAAAGACTAAACAATTATAAACCACAATAACACAGGAATAATGTCAAAGTATCACATTGAATACTTACAGAATGGATAGTCAGGCAAAAGAGCAAGAAATGTCTCAGAACAGCTCCCTTTGAGCTTAAGCTCAGATTTGTACTTCCTCTCCCAGTCACAGAATACAACCTCCCCAAGCACAAGACAGTAATAGACAGGCCATGCTCTATTGGAGAACAAAGCCTTCTAGCCTTTCCAAGACTTTTTTTCATTGTAAGTGCTCTAGACCTTCCAGAAATACCATCTAGGTACCTGATGGTAGCACCCAGTGATTAGCTGCAATGATATCCTCATTCTCTTCTTCCAGATTTTCAGAGCTCGGTCCTTCTTCATTCAGATGAAAAATATGAAGAGAAAGACTGCCTTTGCTCAAGTCAATGGGCTAGAACAGACAGAGAATTTTAATACATCTTATTTATCATTCAATCCTAATGAGAACATGAAAAAGTTACAGCTTTGGTCCATCCAGCTTTGAAGCCTACTACTTATGTTTCAGACCTTAGTTAGGGATGTAGGTCCAAAAACTTAGCCACCTTTTCCCAGTTATACCAGTTTGGCTATTAAAGATACTACAGCATCCTAGAAACCTTGTCTTGCTTATGCCCTTTAGCTATCGGTAGTTTACCTACGACCAGTTCACAGGCATATGAACAGAGCTGTACATTCTTGATTGTGAATACCTGTCTGTCTTTCAGTTTCAGATCCGTATCCACAATTGACACAGACTGCACATTGTTGTTAAGGAAACCATCATCAAATTCTGTCCACTTGTAATCACCAAACACAATGTTATGTCTGTTCAACAGCTTCAACACACTCATCCTGATATCTTCTTTCTTGGCCACACTAACAAGAAATAAAGAGCATTATTTATGATACTGACATTTATAAGGAAGTATGAAGTAACATAAAATGATTTATTTCATACATGGAAAAAAGCTTCCGTCTTTTGCCAAAATAAAAAAATCCATACAACCTCTCCCCCCAACCCCCAAAACAAACCACCCAGATTGTTTCAACTAGGAAAAGCAGAAAAACTCATAGCCAAACCACTCAACTGAACTTGGTACACCTTACTTGGAAGCTCTATTATGCTTTCAAGTCTAAGGACAGCTGGTATTTCAGGATGGGGACATGCTATATGGAGAATTCCAGCAGAAGAGGCAAAAACTACATAAAAAAAGGAACACCATTTTAAGATTTCAGAAAGGAATTAACTTAATTTTGCAATTTTGGTGATACATTCCCTGTGTGGATTCACAGATCCTTGTCTTTTAATTCTTACAAAATGAGAGCAGTGGACATTTTACACTTTGACTTTAGCAACGTATTCAACACAGTCTCCCAAAGTATCCAGATAGCCAAACTGGTAAGCTAAGAACTGGATAATGAGACAACTTGGCTGAACTGTCCAGCTCAAAAGGCTGTGATTAGAAGTACAAAGACTAAACAGACCTGCCAGCATGTCAATTGGGAAAGGCGAGGCAGTGCTGGCAATAATGGCACTCACACTGTTTTTACATCTTCATTTGCACCATGGACAACAGGAATGAAAGCAAGTACAGCAAGTTCACGGATAACATCAAAGCAGGGAAAACTCTCAGTATACTAGAGGGCTACCTATCAGAGGGACCTCTGCAGGTTGAAGATACGGTTTGACAACAATCTATTGAAGTTCAACAAAAGTAAATACGAAACCCTGTCCCTCCATCTACTACCCAGTAAACAGTACAGACCAGAGACCAACGTACTTGGGGAACAAGATGGCAATGAGTCATGTGCTCCTACAATAACAGCCAACCTTATTTTAGATTGAGCACAAATGTTAGGACAAGAGATTCTTTCAGTCTACTAGCCACTTGTAAGACCACATCTGAAATACTGTGTGTGGTTTTAGGCTCTGCTGTATAAGAGCAAGTACAGAATAGACTCTATTAGGAGGCTAGGTCACAAGACACACAAGAATCTGAGACGTTTGTTCAATCTTAGGAAGCGACACCTATGTGGAAACTTATGGGAAAGTATAGAGAAGGCAGAGCAGAGTGCTGTGCACGGCACAGGGTCAAAATGCAACAGGACGCAAGCTCCAACAAGTGAAGTCCCGACTGGAGACCTGTTTGATTTCTGAAGAACTTCCACATGTATTTGAATGTTGTCACACACATTTGGGAGCGCTTGCTTCAATTCCCCAGCGACTTCATCCATTTTTTCCACTCCTGGGGGAAAGCAATACCAAAGAGCAGGCTTTCAGCAACCGTTACATGACAACGGCACCACCAGTCCTTCCCGGCACGGGAGACGCCGAGCCCCGTCTCTGTGCACGCCGCCCAGCGGGTGAACCGACATTTCCCTTCCTCCCTCTGGAAACCGCGACGCTAGGCAGCGGGGATTAGCGGCCCGCTCCTTCCCTCGCGGACCTCCACGGTGGGGACAGGAAATCACCTCACGCCAGACACGACCTCAAGAACGGCACGCTGCAATTGGAAAAATCAGGTCCGACCGGGAAGCGGAGGAACCGAGCAGCTCCTCTGTTCCCTCAGCACCCTGCCTGCTGAGAGGACTGAGCCTCCGCCGCGCAGAAAACGGAAAAAAAGCCCGTCAAGATCAAAGAGAACCTGAAGAGCCAGCACACTGCTACCGCCCTTTCGTAAAAGGCGGGCTGGCGAGGGGCAGCCCGGCCCTCTCCCATGACCTGGATCTTCCTCCGCGGCAGGCGGAAGGAGTTCTTGTGCTCTGACTGCTTCCGGTGTGGGGCTGGAGGGAGTCTGTTACTAGGGAGGGGGCGGTTCGGCCATGGGAAAGAAGCACAAGAAGCACAAAGCAGAGAAAGCGGAATGGCGCTCTGCTTCCGCCACCGCCTACAGCGGTAAGAACTGGGAGCTGTACGGAGGTGGGGCGGGGAGAGGTCTCTCTTTATATTCAGGGACGTCTCTACTGCCGGCAGGACCCGGCATCTCTTCGTGGGCTGGACTGCACCGGAGCGTCGGGAGGGAAAGGGTCTTGTCTGAGTACGTGAGGGGTGGGGGGCCAGGCCGCTGATCCTGTCCAGTAGTCGGGCACCTGGGGAAGCCGGGCGGTCGCACGGGGCGGCAGTGAAGGGAAATGGCGTGTTGTGGGGCTCCTAGCAGACCGGTAGTGGGAGAAGTGAAGTGGGTGGTGGTCTGAAGGAGGTGGCTCGGGGAGGTGCACGGGGATTGCGGAGTGAGCGATGGGCGCTGGTGTGGTGGGGTTTTGAGACCAGGCGCCTTCATGGTTTGCATGGCTCTTCTTGATGGATTCCGGTTGCTGCAGTAGTTGAGTGGTGCTTGGTTTCACCTTACTCTGATAAGGATCTTGAGATGTTTTCTGGGAAAGCTGATGGGTTAGTTCCTTATGTGATCCCAGTTTGTGGAAAATCATGATGCAAGATGTGCTGAACAACTGTTTAACATGGATTTGTTAGTCTTATTTTTCTCTCCAAATGCATTGCATATGTTTTCAGCCTTCAGCAAATTATTGTAAAGAACATTTCTAGAGGAAGCATCAGTAATTACTTTGTGCTGTCATCTCTGTGTGCATTTATGAGATGTTTTACTTTTTTTTCATTTAGATTACGTGGATAAGCCTTTGGAAAAACCATTAAAGCTGGTGCTTAAAGTTGGAGGAAGTGAAGTGACTGAACTTTCTGGGTCAGGGCATGATTCTAGTTACTATGATGACCGATCAGATCATGAGCGAGAACGGCATAAAGAAAAGAAGAAAAAAAAGAAAAAGAAGTCTGAGAAGGAAAAAGAAAAGCATCTAGATGATGAGGAAAGAAGAAAGAGAAAGGTAAGCTGTGATTTTTAGAATTCAGACTTGCTTATCAGATCTAAAATCTGGCACAGAGTACAATTTGATTCACTATTACAAGAAACTTATTCTTGGCAGATGTAGAAAACCCCTGTGTATGTGTTGGTATATTTCTCCTATTTGGACGAGATGTTCCTGTGATGATTTCTTGAACGAAGGAGAAGCTTTTTTTCTTGTAACTGCTTGGTTTCTTTATTCATTTGCTTTGTTTGTAGGTATGAATACTTCCTGATTACAGCCAGGTCAGAAACATGTTTTGCTACCCTTCGAGGAGGGTATTTTCAGTTTTTCAAATAAATCTAACTTGCATTTCTGTTTCTGAGATATACCGAGTTATTGAACATTGTAATTGATATGTTTAGTTAAAACAGCTTTCTGAAATCTGATCTGTTGATTACTGTGGTACGGTAGTCTTGTTGGCTCTTGCTTAGAATAACCTGCATGCTAGGCTTTGTGTCTTTCTTAGTAGCAACCGGTATGGTCACATATTTATTGTATGTGTAGGACCTTTAGGAGTAGAATTTGAAATCAGCAAGGCAGTGTTGGTGGTACAGTTACCTGTACACTTTCTTCCTGGAGACCGCATAGCAGCCTTCCAGTATCTGAAGGGGGCTTATAAGGATGCTGGGGGTGAACTATTCATTAGAGACTGTAGTGACAGGACAAGGGGTAACAGGTTAAAACTTAAACAGGAGAGGTTTAGATTGGATATAAGGAAGAAATTCTTTACTGTTAGGGTGGTGAGGCACTGGAATGGGTTTCCCAGAGAAGTTGTGAATGCTCCATCCCTGGTGGTGCTCAAGGGCAGGTTGAATGAGGCATTGGGTGGCATGGTTTAGTGTGAGGTGTCCCTGCCCATGGCAGGGGGTTGGAACTAGATGATGTTAAGGTCCTTTCAAACCCTAACTATTCTATGATTCTATTTCTTCTGTGTACTAATGATTCTCTGACATACCTGCTTTTTTAATTATCTTCAGCCCTGTACAGTCCTGTAGTTTTCTTATTCTTGTAATATATTTCTTTGGCACTACTTTGTATGTGTGTATGGCTAAACGCTATCATTTTGAATTGATTTGTTAGGCTTGACCTACTTGAAAATGCTATAACTCTGTTGGATCATTCAGAAGTTCTTGAATACAGGGCAGATAGTGCAAAGTTTTTTCTACAAACATTTTTCAGATGTTTCAGCCAAGAGCATGGCACTTGAAATGTAGATTTTGCAGCATCAAATTAATTATTTGTTTTGCCTTTGCTAAATTGGGGTGGAGGGGGCAAGTTTGTTGGTTTTTTTTTTTCTCCCAGAATTTCACTATTAGTGCATGCAAAAGAAACTAACGGATAGGTAAGCAATAAAACTGTAGTCTAAGTATGGTTAATAGAAGTATGCTTTTCTGTATGAGCATGAGTAATGACTTGTAAGATTATAGGAATGACTCAGGCATGCGTTTGCTTTGAAGTTCAGGAAGAGATCATTAATTGCTACCACTGTTACAGAGGATGTCTTATGGTTATTTTGCAGGTTTCCTAAATTGTCATGTACTTTATTGGTTCCCATTTAATGCATGAGACAACCAAAATACACTGATCATAGCAGAGTTACAGACTGATCTTTAGTGAATAGTAAATTATACTTCCTTTACCCTCTGATGTAGCTTATCATCATGCAATTTTACATAGAAATATATCTATTTTACATATAAATAGCTTCAGAGTTTAACATTCTTTTTACTAAAAGAACAGTAATAAATGATAGAACAATAATATATTAAATACAAAGCAAAAGGTGAACAGAATTAGTTTTCATTGGAGAAGAAAATTGAAAAAAGTGACAGGGAAATATATGCACTCTTATTTAAGCCATATTATGGCTCAGATATAGAATGAGTGTTCCAAATGAAAAATCACTCTCTTACCTTTTGGTGTGCAGGACTGTACATTCCAAGTACATTCTTCTAAAATCTGTCTTCTTCCTGCTATGCTAGGAAGAGAAAAAGAGGAAAAGGGAGAAAGAACAGTGTGACACTGAAGGAGAAACTGATGACTTTGATCCTGGGAAAAAAGTGGAGGTTGAACCTCCTCCAGATCGTCCTGTCAGAGCATGCAGAACTCAGCCAGGTGAGCAGCGACAAAAATTAAATCATCTTGTGTGTTTTCAAAAAGCATGCACAGCATAGCTTTTGCCAAAGATTCCAAAACGTAAAATATCCATGAGGATCTGCAAAAATCTAGAGCCTTTATTTTTTCCAACATTAAGAGCTTTCAGCTATCTGAAAAGTCAGTATTCCTCTTGGTACTTCTGGGTTTTAGTAGGTTTATTTTCATGTAACTAAACTTGCCACTGGCTTCTGCTACTTGGCAGAATAAAGCTAGTATACAAGTATTATTGTGTGTATTGTCCCCTTAATTTCTTTTCCATAACATTTCCTCAGCATTTACATAACAGTGGTCAGAATGTCTGAAACCAAGTTTTCATAGAATCATAGAATGGCTTAGGTTGGAAAGGCCCTTAAAGATCATCCAGTTCTAACCCCCTTGCCATGGGCAGGAATTGTTTCCACTCAACCAGGTAGCTCAAATCCTCATCCAGCCTGGCCTTGAACACTTCCTTTAACCACAGATTCTCCTTTATCTTACCACCCTTACAGTGAATAATTTTTTCCTATATCTAATCTAAATCTCCCCTTTGTCAGCTTAAAGCCAATCCTCCTTGTCTTGTCCCCACCAGCCCTCACCAAAAGGCCTTACCCAGATTTCTTGTCAGCCCCCTTTAGGCACTGGAAGCTGCTCCAAAGTCTCCCCAGAGACTTCTCCAGGCTAAACAAGCCCAACTCTCTCAGCTTGTCTCCATAGGAGAAGTGCTGGATTCGCTTGAGCAGGTCCATGCTCTTCTTGTGTTGGGGGCCCCAGAGCTGAATGCAGTAGAGGGGGAGAATCCCCTTCCTTAACCTCCTGGTCACGCTGCTGGTGACCAGCAGCAGCACAGGACACGGTTGGTTTCTGGGCTGCAAGTGTTCACTGCCAGGTCTTGGTGAGCTTATTGTCAACCAGCCCCCCAGGTTTTTCTCCTCAGGGCTGCTCTCAATCCAGTCTCCACGGAGCCTGTATTTGTGTTTGGAATTGCCTCAACCCATGTGCAGGACCTTACACTTGGCTTTGTTGAACTTTGTGAGGTTTGCAGGAGACCCACCTTCTTAGCCTGTCCCGGTCCCTTGGGATGGCATCCCTTCCCTCCAGCATGTCTGCTGCACCACACGGTTCAGTGTTGTCCTCAAACTTGCTGTCCATGTTGCCAGCAAAGTTGTTAAAACAGCACTGGTCACAATACCAGCCCCACCCTGTGGTACACCACCCTTCACTGGTTCCACTTGGACACTGAGCCATAGAATACGACTTAGAGTGGCACCATCTGGCCAGTTCCTTATCCACTGAGTGGTATGTCCATCAAATGCATGCCTCTCCAACTTAGAGACAAGCATGTTATGTGGGACAGGGTTAAATGCCCTGCACAGATCCATGTTAGGTGACATCAGTCGCTCTTCCTTTATCCACCAATGCTGTGACCCTATTGTAGAAGGCCACCAAATTTGTCAGGCATGATTTGCCCTTAGTGAAGCCATCTTGGCTGTCACCAATCACCCTCTTACTGTCCATGTGCC